GAAGTCATGGGAAACATGGTTTCTCTATGGTTTCCTGGGTCCTGGAAGCATTGTTCTGGTTGGCTATGCTACATCCAAGTGACCTCTGGTGGCCATCTTGGGTCAGCAAAGCCTTTGTAAGTTTATAAGTCCTGGCTCACAGGTTTTGCAAAAATTTGCGAAGTAGCTAGTGTAGCTAGAAAGACTCTGCCTGTCATGGAAAATGAATAGTGGCAGGGAAAGGTTCCAGATGAGTAGGGCCAATAGGGACATGTAGTCCTAACAGGAAGCCTCCCCTTTGGCACCAGACCAGCCAGGCCGCATTCCGTTCTCTGAAACAGATGCTGTCGGTGCATTTCCTCCCTTTGCATCTCTGCATTTGAAATGAACTGTGAGTCTTTGCATAAACAGAGCTCTTCCGCTGGGGTGTTTGTAGTTTGCCATTCTCACCAATACAAGTGACAAGTTTTATTGCAACCTTACTCTGTGTCTTTACTGCTGCTGTACCATGCTGCACCTCTCCACAGGCAAAACAAAAAGGGCAAGCGTAAGGATTTGGGCAACTTTGGCAAGGGCCAAATTGTAATGGCTATACGACTGGGTCAGAGCAACTCCAAAACTGCAAAAAAGCGTCAATATATAAAATTTTTTGTTCTCGGGTTTACAGATATTTACCATATACTCCTCCTTATCCCTTCCCTCATCAAAACCTGATTTTACTGTTGTGGGTTTAGTAACACTTTAAGCATTGCACCATCCTATGCCACACAAACCAGATAAATTATAGATCATTTTGCCTTTTTTTGTTTCATAATTCTCTAAAAGCTTCGAGGAAACATAAGAATTTAGCAGATAACTCTACATTTTTGCCAAACATGTTCATTTTGAGGTGGTAATGGTGGCTCACTGTCTAATTACAGAGGGCTTATCTCTAGTGAATGCACAGAACCTTACCATGTTGCCAATGTGAGCAGTGTAGCTAAATTTTTTTAAATATATTCTTCAGATTTTTTTAACATATAAAACAGTCATTTTAACATATATTTTACATATATTTGTAAATGCATTCCAAAAATGTAGATTTGTATTTTTAAAGACATACAGTATATTTGAAATGTATTTTTAAAAATATTTTTTCATATATTTTGGAATATAAACGCATTTCAACATGCAGTGCATGTATATATATATATGTGTGTGTGTATATTCTCTATAAATTGAGGTTGAAGCACTATAGTTCAAACAGAATAATATAATTTTCTCTGGTTCTTTTTCTCACCTGTACTCTTGATCTCCCTTTGTCTCTTTTTTTGCACTCATATATATATACTATATATATTTATATATATATATGTGTGTGTGTGTATATATATATATATGCCCGAATCACACACCTATTGAGCGACATATCAGACTGGATGTCGCTCCACTTCCTTAAACTGAACCTCTCCAAGACCGAGTTTCTTCTCTTCCCCCCAGCCCGGACCCCACCCCCCACTGACTTCTCCATCACGTCCAACAATGGCACCATCAAACCCGCCCCGCAGGCCAGAGTACTTGGTGTCATTCTGGACTCCAACCTATCCTTCCAGCCCCAAGTCCAATCTTTAACAAACTCGTGCAGACTCCACCTCCGCAACATCGCCAAAATCCGCACGTTCCTAACCCCAGAAACCACTAAACAGCTCATCCACTCCCTCATCGTATCACAACTCGATTACTGCAACTCCCTCCTCACTGGCCTGCCTCGCCGCTGGGTATCCCCGCTTCAGTCGATCCTGAATACGGCTGCCAGACTCATTCACCTTTCCAACCGCTCCGTCTCCGCCACCCCCCTCTGCCAATCCCTCCACTGGCTTCCGATTGCGCAATGGATCAAATTTAAATCCTAACACTGACGTACAAAGCCGTCCACCATACTGCCCCGAACTACATCACTGACCTAATATCTAAGTACCACCCAACACGCACACTCCGCTCCTCACAAGACCTCCTCCTCTCTAGTTTCCTGGTCTCCTCCTCCCATGCCCGCCTCCAGGACTTCTCCAGGGTGTCACCCATCCTCTGGAACTCCCTGCCCCAACCCATCAGATTATCACCTACTCTCCTCTCCTTTAGGCGCACCCTGAAAACCCACCTCTTCAGGGAAGCCTACCCCACCCCCTGCTAACCTGCCGACCTCCTCCACTCTTCCTACCACTCCATCCCCCACAGCTATCTCCTCCTGTGCCACCATCCCCTCCCTCCTAGATTGTAAGCTCGAAAGAGCAGGGCCCTCGATCCCCTCATGTTTTGCATTGTATTGGTATTGTTCTGTCACATGTTCTTGTAATGTACAGCGCTGAGCGAACTATCGGCGCTTTATAAATACTATATAATAATAATATATATATATATATATCTATATTCATTCAATATGGACAAATTTGTAGTATTTCAAGTATATGTCAACATATTTGGGAAGAATATTTTCAAAATACATTTCAAATATATTTTTTTTCTATGTGGGTGGAAACTAAACAGCCACACAAAGGCTTGTCACTGCAGTGCAACATGAGACTAAAATAAAATAGGACAAGGACTATAATTACTGGAGACAATACATGGGGGGCAGAGGGGCATATGAAATACAATAAACAATACAAAAGATAGACTGGCCCTAAGTTTGCCTACCCTACCTAATCAGTACCCCTTGGGGAACATATTATGATAGGTGAAAACTTGAGATCCCGAATTCAGAGAATTCATTAGCTGGCCTTGCAATACCCGTGGATACAAAGCTGAAAAAGGGTTATGGAAGCAATTCCACAAAGAAAAATAAATCCATAATTACCATTTTTAGATGAAGCATACATTTAAATGTTTGTAAATGAGGTAGTTTGAATGGAGAATACAGTAGGAAAAGGACAGTTAAAATTTGATGGGCCTGTTCAACCACCCAGTGCTTTGTAGATGGTGGAGAGAGAAACCCCCTGAGATGATCTTTTATCTTGCAGGGACCCTATTGGTGAGATCTCTGTGCTGAGTTCCCAAGTGTGTACACCTGCTGTGTCTATTATGGGGGGCTCCCATTTTTTCTGCTGAATCTTTATTTTTGTAATTTTTGGAAAATGTAATAGGAGAAGCTGTAGCATACAAAGGTGGGCAGCAGTACCCAAAACTCAGAAAAGGACAGGAGGAGGGTCATGAATCATGGCAAGGTGGTCTCACAGTTGGTGAATCTAAGGCCTCATACACACAAGAGCTCCCCTAGACTTCTAGCTCTCCTCGCAGCAGAAAAACACTAAAAGCAGCAAAAACATGTGCAAACGCGGTACTGTGTTTAGCTGCGTTTAGCGCTTAGACATTTACTCATTCGGGCAGCACAGTGGCTAAATAAATAGTTAGCACTTCCGCCTGGCAGTAGTAGGGTTGTTGGTTCGAATCCCAGCCATGGCACCACCTGCCTGGTGCTTGTATGTTCTCCCTGTGCTTGTGTGGGTTTCCTCCAGGTACTCTGGTTTCCTCCCACACTCCAAAGACATGCTGGTAGGTTAATTGGCTCCTGTCTAAATTGTCCCTAGTATGTGTATGTATGAATGTGAGTTAGGGACCTTAGATTGTACACCCCTTGAGGGCTAGGGACTGATGTGAATGTACAATATATATGTAAAAGCACTGTGTAAATTGACAACGCTATATACTGTAAGTACCTGAAATAAATTTGATTGGCCAGAGCATTTTACATTGACATGAATAAACGCCCAAGTGCTAAATGCGGCTAGCATTTAGATGTGTTTAGAAGCATTTACATGCATTTACACGCGTTTTAGCTACGTTTAACTGCTCCTAAACTCTGGTAAAAGCCTATGTGTATATGGACATGTAGGCTTTTATTGAGATGATAAAACAAAGAAGAACTGTGCGCTGCCAATGTGCTGAATAAATGCTAAATCATGAGCTGCTGCAGACACGTGTTATGTGTGTTAACTTAAAAAAATAAAAAATAAATAAAAGTGTTGCGTTGCTAAGAACAAACAATAAACAAAATTCAAACGTGACTAAAAGTCCAGAAAAAAAAAATTATGAAATATAAATTCTTCAAAATGTAAAAAAAAGTGGAACATCTTACTGCTGGAGACTGAAGATATATATTGAAGATTTGCAGCACTGGGACTTTGGGTGCAGTCACCAGCAGGAAGATGTCCCACTTTTTTTTTTGACATTTTGAAGAATTTATTTTTCATCATTTTGTTGGACTTTTAGTCACGTTTGAGTTTTGTTTATTGTTTGTTGTTAGCAACGCGACACTTTTATTTATTTGTTTGTTTTTTTTAAGTTAACACATATAACACGTGTCTGCAGCAGCTCATTATTTAGCATTTATTCAGCACATTTTATTGAGATGAGTTTAGGGGCTTTGGCAAAAAAATGCCAAAAGCGCCTAAACTCACGTTTAAGAGCTGCAGTATACATGAGGCCTTAGGGCGCGTTCACACTTGACTTTATTTCAAAGTCTTGCCAAATGCCCCTATAGCGTTTCACAGGCGTTAGACAGGCGTTTCGGAAGCGTTTTTAATGCTCCCCAAACGCTCCCAAAATGCCCTATGTGTGGTTTTGAGGCGGTTAATAGAGGTTTGCCAAACGTTAAAACCGCCCCACAAACTGCTATAATGAAGGTATTAATGCTTCGCGACCGCCTTGCAACCGCCTCGCAACCGCACCGCAAATACCTGCCAGGCATTTGCGGAGCGGCACCATAGACTTGAATGGGAGGCTTCAACTCTTCCTGACTCAACATGAGGTGTAAGTTTTGCCAGGACGCAACGTGACGCGACGCTAACGCCTCAGTGTGAACAGCACTGTGTGCTGCCATGTGCAGAATTTTCATAGGCGTTTGAGAAGTGTTAAAAATGCTTCCCAAATGCCTGTCTAACACCTGCTGACAAAGCTAGTGTGAACGTAGCCTTAAAGCGGAGTTCCACACACCTGTCAAAAAATAAAAGTCAGCAGCTACAAAAACTGTAGCTGCTGACTTTTAAAAAACAGCCACTTACCTGTCCCTCAGTCCCGTGGTGTGTCCCCCGCAGCCCGTTTCACCAGCCGTCCTGGATTCCAGGAGGCCGGCATCTTCAGTGTGGACACCCGGCTGTCATATCTTGCGGCTTCACAGCCGGGTGCCCACTGCACATGTGCGAGCAGCACTGCGCTTCATGAATGGTCCTGTAGTCTTCTGGGACCTGTCACATGTCCGAAAAGACTAGAGGGACAACACAGGAGCCAACTTAATCACTTGAAGACCAGGCTTTTTTCCGGCACTTCATGTTTCCAAGTAAAAATCATTATTTTTTGCTAGAAAATTACTTAGAACCCACAAAAATTATCTATTTTTTAGTAGAGGCCCTGGATAATAAAATGGTGGGTTTTGCAATTTTTTTTATGTCACACAATATTTGCGCAGCAGTTTTTTTTAATTTAATTTAAAAAAAAAATACACTTTATTGAATTTTAATGCGCACAAACACAATATAGTACCCACCTTTTGGTAACATATAAAAAATGGTGGTACGCCGAGCAAATAGATACCTAACATGTCACACATTAAAATTGTGCACGCTCATGGAATGGCAACAAACTACGTCGCCATAGGCATCACTTTAAAAACCTTTACAGGTAACCAGTTTAGAGTTAGAGTTTAGAGTTTAGAGGTCTGGTGTTAGAATTATTGCTCTTGCTCTGGTGTTTGCGGCGATACCTCACATGTGTGGTGCGATCGCCTAAATGCATGTGAGAACGTTCATCTTTGCTCGCAACACCTTCCGTTTCCGATCGCCTAGGCGATCAGACCAGAAATGGGAGTGGGTACCTGTCAAATTCGGGTACCTGCTCCCCCCCCGCACCCCGAAGGTGCCAATCCTTAATGGGGAGCGGGGGAGCAGTCCTTAAAGTGGAACTTCCCCTTTTGGGTAGAGCTCCACTTTAACCATTAGCCGCCCAGCCAATGGCCGTTTGGCAGCTTCAAAAGTGTTTCGGCATTCCGGGTGCACGCCATTTGGCGTGCCCCCGCACATGCGCAGTTTGCGATAATGCAGAGACGCGCAGCGGCGCGATCTGTCACCGGCCGTGTACCTCGGACACGGCCGATGACAGATCTGAGTACCGGCCCCCGTTGCTGGTACCATGTGACCTGCTGTGACCAATCACAGCAGGTCACATGACAGTTGTATACAATGGATGGCTTCATTCATCCCATCCATTGTATACTAGTGTCTAGCTGTGAATGGTCACAGCTAATCACATGCACATGTCATGTGATTAGCTGTGACCAAATCACAGCTAAGCACAAAAAAAAAAAAAACAGAATGAATCGATTTCATTCAGGTAAATGCTTGCTTATAGCAAAGTAATTCTTTGCTATAAGCAAATTGTGTAAAAAAAAAAAAAAAATACTGATCACTTCCCCAAAGTAGTACAATGTTACTATGGTAAAATTGTACTACTTTGGTCATAGTAAAATATGAAAACAAATCTTAAAAAAAAATTAAAAAAATGTTATAAATAATAAAAAATTAAAAATAATAAAAAAATTAAAAAAAATATTTTTTTTTTTTCATACTGTCACCAGTCAGTGTCCCTGTTCACTGCCATACCAGTTATATGATGATGCTGTACTGCACTGGTGACAATATTTAAAAAAAAAAATAGTGAAAATAATTTTTTTAATTTTTTAATTTTCTGAAAAATTATGACAAAAAAAATACAACTTCAAAAAACTCGCCATGCCTCTTATGAAGTACGTCGGACTGTCTACTCTGCAAAAAAGGGTCATTTGGGGGATATCTGTACTGTTCTGACATTCTTGGACCTCAAGAAATTAGATTGGCTGTCAGTACTTCAGGATTGATCAATATTCAGATCTATCCCATAGTTTGTGAACTCTATAACTTTCCTACAAACTAAATAATACATCCTAATTTGGGTTATTTTCCCCAAAGACATGTAGCAGAATACATCTCGGCCTAAATTTATGAAGAACAATTATTTATTTGTAAACTTTTTATAACAGAAACAAAGAAAAAAATGTGTTTTTTTTCCAAAATTTTTGGTCTTTTTTTGTTAATTTAGCAAAAAATAAAAACCCCAGAGGTGATTAAATACCACCAAAAGAAATCTCTAGTTGTGTGAAGAAAATGATAAAATTTTAGTTTGGGTACAATGTTGTATGACCGCGTAATTGTCATTCAAATTGTGAGAGCGCTGAAACATGAAAAATGGCCTGGGCAGGAAGGTGTAAAATTGCATGGTATTGAAATGGTTAAGCTGGCCATACATTACTCAGGTTTTTGTGTTCATCCACTCATTTGAGGTGGGTGGGGAAACCTTCATCCACTCATTTGAGGTGGATGGGGAAACCCTCCCCACTGTGTCCTTATATTCGAATGGCAGTCCATTGGCTGCATGTGCTGATCAAGGAGAGATTTTCTAACAAGCCCATTCATGAAAAGTCATTCAATAGATGGACTTCTTATGAATGGGAACCAACCTTACAGGGATTGGAATTCTTCCAGTTCTTAATGAAACAGCCCAGTTTTGATCCATGCATGGCCAGTCTAAGACTTACAAGAAGCCGGGGGCTAACTCCACCTTCCAGGCTGCACTTATAATTAAATATCACTTTTGGGTTAACTGACCCTTTAATTCATACATTATCTGTAAAGAAAGTTGATATTACATTGTATCTATATATGATCATTTATAAAATATACATAATTCACATTGTAATGTATTTATGTGTACTAGGGACCATCTGCTATCATTTTGATGTGATGCATCTTTAAATGTTGATGTTTCTTAATATCTGATAAGTCAGTATACTCATAATGTCCTTTTGTGACATCACAAAACTCAGAAAGAGAGTGAGATGTTGGTGTATAATGTAACATTACTGCAGTCTGCTCAGTGGAGTGTTCTCAGGTTGGGACTCCTCTCCATGGCAGATGGTTTTGCAGTAAATTGTAATGTATAATGAATATCGTTATCAGCCTTTGGAAAGGCTGGAAACAAATGATTGTTCTTGGCAGAAGAGAAAATGAGGGAAATTAGTGTTTGAATCTCCATTCTTACAATCCATCAGCCTCTGAAGCATTTTTCAGTTTTGTCTTTCTTTTTTTTTTAAGGGGAAGCAAATATTGAATTTATGATTCTCTATATATATTTCAATGACTGCTTCATTATTTTTGTCTGCAGCACTATAAATGTAAACCTTTCAGAAATGGTTGCAATGTAAATGTAAATATAGCAATGGAAAAGCCCCCTGGCCATCAGTATGACTAGCCAAATGACCAATCTGAAGTGTCTTGGCTAATCAGACAGAGATGGCCAAGACACTTCAGTGGAGATTGCATGAGAAGCAATGGCACCATCTGGCTTAGTCAGTTATTATTTATTTATTTCAGGTACTTATATAGCGCCATCAATTTACACAGCGCTTTACATATATATTGTACATTCACATCAGTCCCTAACCCTCAAGGGGCGTACAATCTAAGGTCCCTAACTCACATTCATACATACACATACTAGGGACAATTTAGACAGGAGACAATTCACCTACCAGCATGTGTTTTGAGTGTAGGAGAAAACCAGAGTACCCAGAAAAACCCATGCAGGCATAGGTGGTGCCATGGTTGGGATTTGAACCAACATAGTGTGAACGTAGCCTTAAAGCGGAGTTCCACTCACCTGTCAAAAAATAAAAGTCAGCAGCTACAAAAACTGTAGCTGCTGACCTTTTAAATACAGACACTTACTGTACCTGTTCCTTTGTTCGGCGATGTCCTCACCACCGCTGGTTTCAACGGCCGTCTTCTCTCCCTGGCTACGGCATCTTCAGTATGAGCAACGCAGCTGTGACAGCTTGCGGCTTCACAGTCGGGTGCCCACTGTGCATGTGCGGGAAGCGCTACACTTTGTGAATGGCCCTGTAGTCTTCACGTGTCCCAGAAGACTACAGGGAGGGGGGGAGGACAATTTCCGCTTCCAATTGCCTAGGTGATAGCAGCGGATGTGGAAGTAGGTACCTGTCAAAGTCGGGTACCCGCTCCCCCCCGCTCCCCAAAGCTGTCAATCCATAATGGGGAGCGGGGAACAAAAGCTTAAAGCGGAACTTCACCTTTTGGGTGGAGCTCCGCTTTAAGAATGCTAGACCCTGGGGGGGTGCTGGGAATATCCAAGGATTAGGTAAGTATATCTCCTTTCTCCTGCCCCCTAGACAAAAACAAACAACTGACCCTTGCAGTGTGGGCTTAGCCTCACTGCATGCGAAAACCTTTTTTTGCCCGGAGATGGGCGTTAAGCCTAATAGCTATATACCTGCAATGTGAAATCATCTCAAGACACTCCTGCCTCTGACTACTAGTCTCTGGAGATTTGAAGTGAGAGATGGTAATTTCATTACTGTTCTGCTTACTGTTCTTTTATCCTGGAGAGTAAGCTGTACTGGAGGACCTGCAGTGGAAGGATATCCCTACTTCTATTTAATTCATTCTGTGGATCTGTGCTATCTCCACCTCTTCTGCTGCTTCCTGAATATTCCCCTACCGGTAAATAGATTATAAACTATTGGGGGGCAATTTAAAAATGAGCAAGCAAAACCCTGCCTTTGCCAAGATGGTCACCTGAAATTTCTAGTAAATTAAAACTCTGAATTTCACTCATCCCAAGACCAGACACAATACTCTCATCCCCCACAAGCACAATATGCTGACTTTCTTTAATCGGGAGCAAGTTGGTTCGCTTTTCCTGTGTACTGTACTTGACCTTGTCACAGTCTTGTTTATTACTCGTATCTCTGTTATAAATACAAGTTTCCATTTTGTCGCAGATATATTTCACCCTTATGAGGGCCTAAAATGTAAATAAAATTGCTTTCTGAAAATGTTTTACACGAAGGTCAGAGTTTCCTCCGCTATTCCAAATGTCAATCGCGCCATGGTTCCTTCAGAAGATAATGCATTCCTCGAGATGGCGCGGGGCTCTCTCTCAAGCATTTTATGGGCTGCCATTTTTTTATACTGTAGTTTGTTGATATGTGATATTAATCTTCAAAAGCCCTGTTGTGTTATTAATGACAGGCTGAACCATGGCGCGTTTCGGTCTGTGATCTGGGATTTGTGTGATCAGAGGGTGTAGTAGAGATTAGAAACATATCCAAAGAGCAAAAGAAACACTTTTGAACAGTTTGCTGTTGAGGGAACATGAAGCTCTGAAAGTACTGAAAACTGCAAGAAAGGCTTAGAGAGAATCCAGAGCTTGTCAATAATTGTGCAGTGTATAGGTCAGGAGATGACCTCATGGATATGAAGTGACTGTAGGGTCAGATTAGTTGACTTCATTGCTGGCATTTTGGCTCTGGTCGTTTTTTTTCGAACAGGACTGTGAAGATTTGGGACCACTCTTTTCCCAGTACAGGATAAAGAAAGTATACTGGGAAATGGATAGCTCAAAGAGATTAATTTATTATGAGTTGGTTATGATAGCGTCAGGGTATATTAAGAGTTAAACACTCATTTTGGGGAATGTAGAGGTTTATATTTTGTTGGAGAGAAGGAATATGGTCCTACTGAATATATACTGCTGTGCAAACAGTCAATGGATTATATTTACTGCTGGGTTTATGATGATGAGGAACATGTACTACTGGGGGACTATGCTGCCAGGGTGGATATGCTCCTGGGGAATGTGTACTGTTGCAATGTGTACTGCTTGGGGGAGAGTTATGCTGCTAAGGAATGTTTACTGCTGATAGGTATGCTGCCAGGGAATATGTGCTGTTGGCAAAAGCATCCAGGGGGATATACAGGGTTATGGTGATGAAGAACATGTAGCATGGAGAGAGTAAGCTGAAGGGGAAGATGCACTGCTTAGTGTATGCTAGTCGGGAAGACACACTGCTGGGAGTATGCTATAGGGGAAGGTGAACCATATGGGTTTGGCTGTTGGAGAAGATGTATTGCTGGTGGATATGCTAGTGTTAGTAGGAACAATGTAACGTGGAATTAGCTGTTAGGGAAGATGTACTGCTGGGTGGTATGCTATTGGAGAACTTGTAGTGCTGGGTTGTGTGATGTGGTGGAAGATATACTAGGGGGAGGGCAGCATGATGGTTGGGAAGATGTTCTGCCAGAGGGGTATGCTAGTTCAGAAGATGTTCTGCCAAAGGGATATGCTGGTTGGAAAGATGTTATCTCAGAGGAGTATGTTGGTGGGGAAGATGTTATCTCAGAGGAATATGCAGGTTAGGAAGATGTTCTGCCAGAGGGGGTATGCTGGTTGGGAGGATGTTATCCCAGAACAGTATGCTGGTTGGAAAGTTGTTCTGCCAAGGAGTATGCTGGTTGGGAAGATGTTCTGCCAGAGGGGCATACTGGTTGGGAAGATGTCTGCCAGAGAGGCATACTGGTTGGGAAGATGTCTGCCAGAGGGATATGCTGGTTGGGAAGATGTCTGCCAGAGAGGCATACTGGTTGGGAAGATGTCTGCCAGAGGGATATGCTGGTTGGGAAGATGTTATCTCAGAGGAGTATGCTGGTTAGGAAGATGTTGTGTCAGAGGGATATGCTGGTTGGGAAGATGTTCTGCCAGAGGGATATGCTGGTTGGGAAGATGTTATCCCAGAGGAGTATGCTGGTTGGGAAGATGTTCTGCCAGAGGGGCATGCTGGTTGGGAGAATGTTCTGCCAGAGGGATATGCTGGTTGGAAAGTTGTTCTGCCAGAGGGATATGCTGGTTGGGAAGATGTTCTACCAGAGGGGCATACTAGTTGGGAAGATGTTCTGCTAGAGGGATATGCTGGTTGGGAAGATATTCTGCCAGAGGGGCATGCTGGTTTGGAAAATGTTCTGTCAGAGGGATATGCTGGTTGGGAAGATGTTATGTCAGAGGAGTATGCTGGATGGGAATATTTTATTCCAGAGGTGTATGCTGGTTGGAAAGATGTTCTGCCAAGGAGTATGCCGGTTGGGAAGATGTTATACCAGAGGAGTATGCTAGTTGGAAATATGTTTTGCCAAGGAGTATGCTGGTTGGGAAGATGTTCTGCCAGCGAGGTATGCTGGCTGGGAAAAAGTTCTGCCAGAGGAGTATGCTGGTTCAGAAGATGTTCTGCCAGAGGGATATGCTGGTTGGGAAGATGTTCTGCCAGAAGGATATGCTGTTTTGGAAGATGTTATCCCAGAGGAGTATGCTGGTTGGGAAGATGTTATCCCAGAAAAGTATGCTGGTTGGGAAGATGTTCTGCCAGAGGGATATGTTGGTTGGGAAGATGTTCTGCCAGAGGGGCATGCTGGTTGGGAAGATGTTCTGCCAGAGGTATATGCTGGTTGGGAAGATATTATCCCAGAGGAGTATGCTTATTGGAAAGATGTTCTGCCAGAGGAGTATGCTGGTTGGGAAGGTGTTCTGCCAGAGGTGCATACTGGTTGGGAAAATGTTCTGCCAGAGGGATATGCTGGTTGGGAAGATGTTCTGCCAAAGGGATTTGCTGGTTGGGAAGATGCTCTGCCAGAGGGATATGCTGGTTGGGTAGATTTTATCCCAGAGGAGTATACTGGTTGAGAAGATGTTATCCAAGAGGAGTATGCTGGTTGGAAAGATGTTCTGCCAAGGATTCGGCTGATTGGGAAGATGTTATCCCAGTGGAGTATGCTGGTTGGAATGTTGTTCTGCCAGAGGAGTATGCAGGCTGGGAAGATGTTCTGCCAGAGGGATATGCTGGTTGAGTAGATGTTCTGCCAGAGGGATATGCTGGTTTGGAAGACGTTCTGCCAGAGGGACATGCTGGTTAAGAAGCTGTTCTGCCGGAGGAGTATGCTGGTTGGGAAGATGTTATCCCAGAGGAGTATGCTTATTGGAAAGATGTTCTGCCAAGGAGTATGCTGGTTGGGAAGATGTTCTGCCAGAGGAGTATGCTGGTTGGGAAGATGTTCTGCCAGAGGAGTTACTGGTTGGGAAGACGTTTTGCCAGAGGAGTATGCTGGTTGAGAAGACGTTATCCCAGAGAAGTATGCTGGTTGGAAAAATGTTCTGCCAAGGAGTATGCTGGACGGGAAGACATTCTGCCAGAGGAGCATGCTGGTTGAGAAGATGTTCTTCCACGTAGTATGCTGGTTGGGAAGACGTTCTGCCAGAGGAGTATGCTGGTTGGGAAGATGTTCTGCCAGAGGAGTATGCTGGTTGGGAAGACATTCTGCCAGAGAAGTATGCTGGTTGAGAAGACGTTACCCCAGAGAAGTATGCTGGTTGGAAAGATGTTCTGCCAAGGAGTATGCTGGTTGGAAAGATGTTCTGCCAAGGAGTATGCTGGTTGAGAAGATGTTCTGCCAGAGGAGTATGCTGGTTGGGAAGACATTCTGCCAGAGGAGCATGCTGGTTGGGAAGATGTTCTGCCAAGTCGTATGCTGGTTGGGAAGACATTCTGCTAGAGGAGTATGCTGGTTGGGAAGATGTTCTGCCAGAGCAGTATGCTGGTTGGGAAGATGTTCTGCCAAGCAGTATGCTGGTTGGGAAGACATTCTGCCAGAGGAGTATGCTGGTTGGGAAGATGTTCTGCCAGAGGAGTATGCTGGTTGGGAAGACATTCTGCCAGAGGAGTATACTGGTTGAGAAGACGTTACCCCAGAGAAGTATGCTGGTTGGAAAGATGTTCTGCCAAGGAGTAGGCTGATTGGGAAGATGTTATCCCAGTGGAGTATGCTGGTTGGAATGTTGTTCTGCCAAGTAGTATGCTAGTTGGGAGGATGTTCTGCCAGAGGAGTATGCTGATTGGGAAGATGTTCTGCCAATTAATATGCTGGTTGGGAGGATGTTCTGCCAGAGGAGTATGCTGGTTGGGAAGATGTTCTGCCAATTAATATGCTGGTTGGGAAGACTTTCTGCCAGAGGAGTATGCTGGTTGGGAAGATGTTCTGCCAGAGGGGTATGCTGGTTTGGAAGATGTTCTTCTAAAGGGGTATGCTGGTTTTGGAAGATATCATCCCAGAGGAATATGCTGGTTGGGAAGACGTTCTGCCAGAGGGACATGCTAGTTGAGAAGATGTTCTGCCAGAGGAGTATGCCGGTTGGGAAGATGTTATCCCAGAGGAGTATGCTTATTGGAAAGATGTTCTGCCAAAGGGGTATGCTGGCTGGGAAGATGTTCTGCCTGA